GTGGGGGGGCGGTCTGCTTAGGCACATTAGCATCTGGGAGCTCAATGGAAAACAGACTCAAAACCAGCCCGCCTCAGCCCCAACATGGGCCTGGTCCGTGGGGGGGGGGGGCTGTCAGCCTTGACCTCACATGGGCCTGGTCCCCCGGGGGGCCCTGTCAGCCTTGACCTCACATGGGCCTGGTCCCCTCGGGGGGGGGCACCCTGTCAGCCTTGACCTCACGCTCTGCCTCTGAGAACCCCAGCTCCCAGCCTGAGGAGCAGGGCCGCCCCCTGCTCCCCGAGTTCCCCCACGGTGGCCCCACAGGTCTCCCCTCCCCAGTAGGAGCGCCCACAGAGGGCCACTGCTGGGCCTCACTAGGCCCAAGGGGCAGGCTCTGTGGAGGGAGGTGTGCCCAGCTTGTGCGGTGGAGGGTCCCCAGAGAGCACGCCCACACCCCGAGCCCTCCGGCACCGAGAAGGGCCCTGCAGTGGGCTGCCCAGCCTCTCCCCACTTCACGGTGGGGAGCCTGAGGCTGGTGAGGTCCCACAGGGCGGGGCCCGCAGGGCGGAGATGGCCCTGCCCTCCTCCAGATTCTTTTTCTGTACTTCTGGGCGCCACCTCCGCCGTCCCCTCCCAGTCACTGCTGGTCTCCCTTAAATACCTGGGGTCCTGTGGGGGCAGGGCTCCACAGTGACAGGAGGCGAGGGCACGGGGTCACAGACAGGGCACTGCCCCACAGGGCAGGAGCAGGCAGGCAGAGGAGACAGCTGGCCCTCAAGCCCGGGGCGTTTATGCCCCCCCCAGGCCGGCCTCGGGCAGCGCTCTCAGGCCCTCCCGGTCACTTTCTCCTCTTTGCCAGCTTGCTGTCCTCAGTGTCCTGGTCACTGCTGAGTTTCAGCCTCTTCTTGCCCAGAGGGGTCTTGAAGTACCAGTCCTGGGGCGGGGGCGGCCAAGAGCGGTCTGGCCGGGCCCTGCCTCCGCCGCTCACGCTTCCCGGCTTAGTCCTTCCCGGCAGCCTTTCTCCAGGGGCCCGGCTGGAGTTGGGGTTCCCCCTGCTCACTCCTGGCAGCCCATAGCCATCCGGCCACCCGAGGGGCGGGGGTGCAGCTGCTAACTGCCGCGGTCCTTGTGGGGGGCCCTGCCCACGGCTGAGCCGTGCCTCCCCTCCCTCCTCGTTCCCTCCCGGCTGGACTCTGGTGGGGCGAGGGGACCTCTGCCTGGTGCTGGCACCCCCAGGCCTCACCTTCAGGGACTCCTCCTCCTCCCTGTACACCGGCTCCTGCTTGACCAGGTGGCCCAGGAACTCGGAGGCCGCCAGGGGCTGCCTGCCCAGGAGCAGCAGCCTGCGGTCCGTCAGCACCCCCTGGATGGCCTGGTGAATGTGCCCGGGCGTGTAGCCGTCCGTCACCTTGGCCAGGGAGCTGATGTCCAGGCTCTTGGTCACCTGGACTTTGTGGGCCTCTAACATCTGCTTCCAGAGCACTGCGGGCACAGGACATTGCGGGCAGGGAGAGGCCATGGGTCCCCTCGCTGCATCAGCTGAGCCTTGTGCTTCTAGGGAGAAGATGCTCCCCGGAGGGGCTCCCCTCACCCCCGTCAGGAGCCGCCACCCCACTTAACATGAGGAGTGAGAATCGGGGCGACCACAGAGCCAGCCAGGACCCGCGTCCACAACACCCAGCCGCGGCGCGGGGGCTCCCAGCAGCAGGGAGAGGGGGCGGGGAGCTGTGGGGCGACCCCACCCCTCCTCCGGCCTGTGCCCGCATGGCCGAGCCTCACCGTAGCGAGAGGCGTAGTCAGGCCGCGGCATGAAGAGGATGCGCTCGTAGGTCCGGCACAGCGCCTTCATGTCGGCCAGCTGCGGCTGCCTGCTGGTCCCTATCAGCATCACGCGGTCGCCCGGGGCCAGCTGCCGCATGGCCCTGGTGAGGTCCTTCTTGATGCGTTTCGGGTCCATCTGCGTTGGGGGAGGGAACACTGGGACTGACACGTGTGTCTCAGGTCTTCCGCGCACACGCCTCGCTCACCCGCGCTGCAGCCCTGGGGCCCTGGGCGGCCAGTCCTGCTTTAAGGAGGAGGCGAAAAGGCGGGAAGAAGACGGGTGGGCAGTCCAAGGGCCAGTGCGAGCGGCCAGGAAGGCCGGGCAGGCCGCACTCCCTACCTCCTTCTCTTCTTTGGGGACCTTCTTGTAGAAATTCTTCTCGGCGTTGTCGATCCAGATCACAGAGGGCTGGAGGAGCCGAGCCACCTGTCAGGTGGGGTGGGAGTCTGGCGTCAGACCGCGGCCACCTCCCCGTCTGGCGCAGCCCAGGGCCAGGCTGCCTCAGCATCTGCGCCTTGGGGCTCCTTTGGGAGAGGAGGGCAGCGGGAGGGGAGGGGGGGCAGCCTCCTCTCCGCCGTGGAAGGAAAGGGGGCGCCAGGCCTCGGTCCACCAGCCCCGAGCAGGGGTGGGGACGCCCGTGTCCTAAGCCACGCTCCGCGCCAGCCCAGCACCCCGCCCTGCCCGAGCAGCGCCCACCACGTCACACCTTGAAGACCATGTGCACCAGCATCTGCACCCCGGCCTTGCCCGGGAATTTGTCCTGCAGGTTGCTGGGCGACAGGTCGAACAGGTTGGCACCGGTTTCTGTGCACACAGCCTTCACCAGCATCTTCTTCCCCATGCCCGAAGGGCCCACCAGGAGGATGGAGCGGATGAGGGGAGCCATGGCATGGATATCTGGGGAGCCTGAGGGAAGCAGGCCACAGGCAGGGCTGGCCCATGGGGGCCGGGGGCGAGACGGGGTGTGAGGTGAGCCCGAGGCCGAAGGTCTGGGCAGCCCCCCAGCCGCACCCCCAAAGAGGCAGCCCACGCCTAAGGGCAGTGGGGCGCCAGGCCGGGGCCCCTCCCCCGCCGGTGGCCTTGGTTGCCGCTCCTGGATCACAGGTGGGTGGACTTAAAGGATGAGTGAGCGGCCAGCGTGCGTGTGTGTGGAGGGCAGGGGAAGGGGCAGACTGTGGATGTCACTTGGGCCTGAGCCAGAGGCTCACCCTAGGGGTGACCTCCAGCAGGGTCTGGGCGGTGGCGCTGGGGACCAGGGGCCAGGCCGCACACGCCCGCCTTGGCCACCCGACCCTGTAGCCAGGCTCCCCGAGAACACCCGCCCGTGCCGCCCCTCCCGGGCCTCTCACCAAGCCGAAGGACCCCATACAAGGCCACGTTCTGTCGTATGTCAAACAGGGACGGCATCGGCAGCTTGTTTGCCAGGTTCAGCGTGGTCCCGAGGTAGAGGCAGTCACCTGGCAGGACAGGTGGCCACCTGGTGCGTGGGCCCCACCCCCAGCCCAGGGCAGGCCAGGAGAAGGTTCCCTGCAGGGGGTGATGGAGGCTACAGGGAAGGCAGTGAGGGGGTGGGGGAGAGTTGGGGCTGGAGGTTGGGGGAGGGCGGAGGGGGCGGGGTGGGGCCCAGCGCTCACCAATGTAGCTGCTCAAGGGCACCCTCTCGCTCTTCTTCAGAAAGCCCTGGATGACCAGCTCCTCAAACAGAGATTCCACGGACCTGGCAGCAGAGGCCCCGGGGAGGCGAGACAGGGGCCAGAATGCCAAGGTCACCCCAAGGCCAGAATAGAGGGTGTGGTCCCAGCCCCGCGGGGGCAGGGCTGCTCTGTGGGTGGGCTCCCCACTCCCTGAGCGGGTCTCTGACAAGCCCCGTTGGTCATCTGCCCTCGGTCATCTGCCGTCCATACGACTAACCGCCCTTCTCCCAGAAGCCACGTTTACGGGGTCCCACCTACGGGGGGCTGGTGATGAGATCACCACATCTGCACTGGTGGCCTGCTGTGCCAGAGAGGTGCCAGAGAGGGAGCCCCGTAAAGCCCCAGGCGGGAGGTCTGGGGCAGTGCTGGAGGCTGGGGGCGGGGTGGGGGGTCTGGAACAGTCTCATTAGGGCAAAGCCTGGAGGCAGGAGGGCGGGAGGTGACTCGCTCAGCTCCTTGCATCAAGTCAGAGCACCTCAGGCTTTCCTGGCCCCCCTGGCTCCCCTGGCCCTCTGTGGGCTGAGGAGGGCAGGCCCGTGGGGAATAGGGACCGGACTCAAAGAGGTTCAGTGGCTTTCCCAGGCTCACACAGCAACTGACTGACCCAGAAGTCAGATCTGGCCTGGGCTGAGGTGCTCGTCCCACCTCCGGGGGCGGAGTCTGCTACCTGTTTAAGGTCAGATCTTTATCCTTCTTCTTCTTCCCAGTTTTCTTCCCGGTCTTGTTCTGGTTGGAAACAAGCACGTGGGCCACTGGCCACTGTTTTCTGTTTGTTGTTTTTTAAGATTTAATTTTATTTATTTATGCATGGAAGAGCTGGGGTGTAGACCAGAGATGCGGGGGTGGGAGGACTCCCCAGAGACAAAGTGGGGAGCAGAGTGCGGAGGTGGAGCCACTGAAATCCACTGCTGCGGGGAGCACCCTGGGGTCACTCCGGGCCGGGGGGCTGGGGTCAGCCCGGTGGCTGAGGCCTACCCCTGCCCCAGGGAGGCCCCGCCTGCCCTGCTCACGCTGCATGGCTCTGCCTCCCGCCCAGCCCAGCCCTCATCTTGCCTTGGGGTCCTTCAAGGGTCTCCCCTCCTCCTTGTCCACGACCAGACGCAGGTTCCTCAGCTCTTGTCTCATCAACTCATCCACCTGGGGCATAACAGGGAGTGAGGGGGGCCAGGCGCTAGGGAGGCCACGGAAGTGCAGCAGGGGAGCCCTGCGGCAGCACAGACGGCCACTGGCCTCCCTGCATCTGGGGCGCCCGGGTCTGTGCCCCAGCCTGCCGCTGCACACGCCTGGCCCGTGCGGCCTGCTGCCAGCCGGCCTTGGCGTCGGGGAACCAGGCCGGCCGGCTGCGTCGGGGCCAGCCGCAGGTCTGCTCTTCAAAGCCTGGGGGCTTGAGCCGCGCCTGACCGCTCAGCCCCGGAACCGGCCAGGGGCCAGTCTGGGCCCTTCTGCGGTCGTGGGGTCACGTGACCTGCTCTTCCAGGGTACGGGCACAGGGCGGGCCCTGTACAGTTTGGCGAGGGTGAGGGTGAATGTGACTCCAGCTCAGAGCCCTGCTCATGCCCTCCTATTTGGGGAGAGTGGGAGGGAGGCCGAGAATGGGGGGACGAAGTCGGGGTGAAGACTTAGAGGACGGCAGCATAGAGCAGGCTGGGAGGACGGGTGGACGGGCGAGGGGGGAGGAGGGCTGAGGGCAGAGAGCCCAAAGCAGCGGCAGGCAGAGGAGAGTGGGGGGCTGGGGCTCACCTGTATCCGGATCTCCTGCTCCACTTCCTTCCTCTTCTCCAGCCGGAGGATCTCAGCATCGAAGTTCTGACTGGGGTGTATGTTCTCAAGCCGGTTCTTCCACAGATCTGACAGCGGAGAGACGGGCAGACAGACGGTGCGAGCCCCGGTGTGTGTGTGGTCACACACACACCGTCTGGGCTCAGACGCGGACCGTCCAGCCTGGGTGTGTCGGTCTCCCCGCCTGGCTGTGCGCCTCTGTCTGTCTGGCCCCTTTCTCTCGACTCTACACACACCAGGAACCCGCCCCCGGCCGGAGGCCCCCTCGCCCCTGCTGCTGACCACAGCCAGAGGCCTCAGGACGCGCCCAACCCAAGCCCTTAGTCCACGGCGTGGGCCAGGGGTTCGTGCCCCGGTCCCCACCCCCAGCATTCTCTCCTCCAGTCCACCCCACACCCGCTCAGATCATGCAGGCGTCCATGCGCCCAGGAGCAGGTCACCCAGGTCTTGGCCAGCCCCCTCTTACTCAGGTACTCCTGGTGCCCAGCGCTGATGACGGGGACAAATCTGGACGGCAGCACTTTCAGCACCGTGTCTGCTTCCTGGAACACCAGCGGCCTTCACCGTGGCCCCAGCTCGGCCCGCCACAGCCAGCCGGCTCAGGGCTCCCGGCTTCACCCCGCCCCCGCCCCGGCCCTGGGTCCAGCAGCCACCTTACCCCCCACCGGGTCTTCTCCTTCTTCTTCTTCCCTTTTTTCTCCTTCTCTTGCCCTGTGTTTTTCTCTTGGGTCTTTTTCTTGACATCCTGGACCTGCCCCTCCAGTTCCATCTTCACCTGTAACCAAGACGGAGAGGGGGCTAGGCTGGGAGCAAGGGACCCCAGGGTCTGAGGCTGGGGTGACCGATCAAAGCTGGAGCCGGAGCAGCGAGCTCACTGCAGTGCGGAAGGAAGGGCTGCCGGGGCAGCACGTAGCTCTCCGGGCCCCTGGGGCAGGGGCCACGGTGGTCTCGGAGGACATTTCCTTCCCAGGCCCAGGCGGTCTCCTCCAGCACGGGAGACCCCTCCCCAGGCCTTGTTGTAAGTCACCTGCCGCTGCCCCCGCCCGTGGGGGCTCAGGCTCTGCCCCCAACATGCCCACCAGTCTCCTGCTCCCGCCTCTGGCACCTGTTCTGGCGTCTTGTCTGCAAAGATCACGTGGGATCCACCTATCGACTCTTGTGGATAATCCGGGAATCGGCCCGTGAGGTCACTGCGCGGACAGAAGATGGTGGGGCGAGTGGGTGGACGCCCAGATGGACGCCCACAGGGAAGTGGGTGGAGGGGTGGGCGGACAGGTCCAGTGGCAGAGGGGGGGACGGAGAGCACAGGACACTCGCGGTCCTCTTCCCATCTCGTCCCGGCCTGTTCTCTCCCATTCCGAAGAATGGGAAGCCGTGCAGGAGACGGTGGGTGGCGAGCCGCCGGGGTTCAAGCCAAGTGTGTTAGCTGTGCACGGGGCTGTGGCTGGCTGGAGAACTGGTCCACACCCCGCGAGGACACAAGAGGGGCGGGGGACACTGGGCAGGGGGAAGGGGGGGCACTGACTGGCACTCGATGAACCACTGTCGGACTTGCTCCTTCATCCGCTCCTTCATGTCGGGCCCCTCCGTCTCCCGGAGCGAGTTGTAGGCCTTGGTGATGGCCGTCTGGAACTCCTGCTCCTTCTCCACCTGCCGGAGCCGCCGCACATCCTCCCCGAAGTCGGCCTTGAACATGATGTCCGTGTGCTCCTGGCTGGCCGAGGGGAGCTGGGAGAGGAGGCGGCGCGTCGAGCGGCGGGACGGCGGCCGCCCCACACCTGCCCCCGCGCCGCGCCCACGCCCCGCGCGATCGATCGCCCGCCAAGCCTGCAGCAGGCGAAATTGTGTGCGCGCGAAACTCGGCTGTGTAAATTACTCTGATAATGAGTTTGCCTGATGCACCCGGGCTGGCGCCCCCTGCCCCTCCCTCGGCCCCCCCCTGCGCCTCCGGCCCGCACCCCCACCCCGCCCGGCGGCCGCGTTGGCAGCCGCTCCGGAGCCACTTTCCCGCCTCATTGGCTCCCAAATGTATTTTAAATATCACTCTGCGCAGAGACAATTACTGAAAACGCTGAGCTCACACTGCCGACGGGCCCGGGCGGCCAGGCTCATTCCTCACCCTCCCAGCGCCCAGCCCCGCCCCCCAGGGCCCTGGCTCCCTCTGCCTAGTGCTGCCAGGGGCGCTGCAGACCCCACCCCCAGCGGGGCGCCCGCCTGCCCCCTCCTGGGGCCCCAGCCCCTGGGGTGGCCATCCCGCCAGAGTCCCCAACCACTCTGGCCCGGCCCCTGTCCCCCCAGAGCCTAAAATCCAGGCCGTGCCCACTGCAGAGTCCTCTCTCCCGCCCCATGATCAAGATCCCTGACCCGGGCCGCAGTGGAGACTGGCTGAGAGAGAACCACCCCGGGGGAGCAGAGAAGAGAAGAGGCCAGTGACCACACCCCAGGAAGCTGGGGTACCCCGAGCAACTGCACTGTTGTGAGGGGACAGTCCCAAGCCCAATTCACGACCCGTGGTCCTCCCAGAGGTGACACGGCCCGGGGACACCTTGGGTCCTTTCTCCTCTTTCTCAACCAAACCCTGAAAGACCCTTCACTGGGGTTGCACCTCAGCTCACCCCTTTCCGCTCAAGCCCGCGCAGCCTGAGTGGAGGGCAGCGCAGCAAGGAGGGGCCCTGCAGGGCTGCAGTCTGGGGGAGGCTTACGCGGGCGAAGAAGAGGCCCGAACCCTGCCTGGCCGGCCTGCGCCCCAGGCCGGGGTGGGGGCTCACCATGCCGATCAGCTCCATCTCCGTCTGCCGGTCGTGCTGGGTGTGTTTCCGCTGCATGTAACCTTTCCACAGCTGGGGGGTACGGGGTCCCGTCCACACCGCAGCTCGGGGCTGTGGCTGTGGCCGAGCCCTCCAGAGGAGCAGCTCTCTGCCCGGGGCGGGGGCGGGGGGAGGACGGGGTGCTGGCAGGCATCTCCCGGAGGGCAGCTCCCTGAGAGCTTCCCGGCCTGGGCTAGCAGCGTCATGGGGAGGGACAGAGAGACCAGGGCCACACTTAGGGGGCGGACAGCCAGGCCGAGAGGCGCCGAACAGCTGTCCAGAGCAGGGGGAGGCGAAACCGCCAGGACAGTAGATGGCGGGGGGGCACCTGCCGGCAGGGCGGGGTTCTCTGCGGTCAGGCAGGACAGCGTGTAGCCGTCGCTCCCTTGTTAAGCAGAGGGTGACCCCAGACGGCACAGACCTGGAGCACACCTGGGTCACTTCAGTTATCAAGTGCAATCCGTCGTTTTCCCTCTGCCCTCAGCTGCCCCTACGACTCTGGACATACTGTAAGGACTCAGCGTTTACACTGGAATTAAGCCCCGCTGAGAGTATCTGGAATGATGGTCTCCACTACCCTGCTACCTTCCTCTGGGTCTTTCTGCCTGCCTTCTGATGACCCTTCTGTTTCTAGGGCTTTGATGGGGTTGCACGGCAGGTGCTGGGGGATAGATGGTAGAATAAGGAAACAAGTGAGATACATGCTCCCGGGCCAGCGGAGGTGCCTTGTGGTGGGGCCAGCGAGCACAGGCACCCGCAGCTCTGAGACTGCCTGCTGACCCGGGTGGGCTTCCTGGAGGCGGTGACAGTCCCGCACCGCGCTGGGGCGAGGGGGGGTTACCTTCTGTATGATGACAGCGGCGCCGTCCTGGCTGAACTTGAAGCGCCCCTCCTCCAGAATCCTCCGGTCCCGCTCCTCGTCTTTGCGGATCTCCCGCATGAAGGCGGCACGGAGTCGACCTTGCCGGGCTCGTTCTGTCTTTTGCAGTATGATTATGGCCTCAGTCCGGGACATCCCTGGGTAGCTCTGGCCGGAGGCGGGACAAGGGGGCAGGAGGAGATGAGGGAGGCTGCGCCCGGGGCGTGCGCCTCCTGGGGTGTGCCCACCCTAGTCCTGGCCTTCTGTCTTGGAGCGAGGGGTGCAGGAGCAGCATTGAAGGCCGCCAGGGCACACCCAAAGCACTGCGAGGGGCCTGTGGCCGGGTCTCTGCCTCCCGCAGGGCGGCTTCTCTCTTCTGGAGGAGGGGCCGGGCCCTCCCCACGTACCTCTTGGGAGGGCTCAGGTTCCATTCTGGACAGGATCTCTGCCAGCATCAGCCCTCGCTCCTTCAGAATTTTGGGCTGCTCCAGCAGGAAATATTTGGGAATTGGAACCTCCAGGTCTGCCTTGGGGGTGACGTGGGGGAGGAAGGTCAGCAGCCAGGACAGCCCCGCCGGCTCCACCACTGCCATTTCCGCTCCTCACACACCCAGCTCCGCTTCCCTGCATCGTAGCACCCCAGGACGGGGCATAAGTGATCTGGGGCGCAGGCCCGCCCCGGATCGCTTCTCTTGCTCCCCCACGTGCAGAGGTGAATCTGGAGGACCTGGTCGGGAAAGGGCCGTGGCCCAGGCCTGGCGTGCCGCAGGGTCAACGGGAAGCTCCTAAGATCCAGGCTCCCTGCCAGGGCTGGGCAGCGAGGCGCACTGGCCGCGCCTGGAGGCTCCCGCTGCGTTTTGTCCCGGAGCCCACAGCAGAGTCTGATGCAGCTGGTGCAGGACCCCGGGCAACCGGGCGGCTGCTGAAGTTCCCGATCCTACTTCAGGGTGCAACCGAGTGGCCGCGGCCCGCCAGCGCAGAGGCAGTCTCAGTGGGTGTGGCTGCGCGCGGGCTCTTGCATTCCTCACAAGTTCCCGAGTGACGCTGATGCTGCCGGTGCGGGGGCCGCTGCCAGGACCCGTCTCCCATGGGCTCTCCCTACCAGCCTCCCTGTGGTCCA